GATATGTGAAATGACCTTTGCTTATGGGTTAGCAGCATATAGATCACTTGCTTTATATAACCCTTTGATGTATCCAATAATTCAAATAGTAGCATCCTTATATCAATAGATCTGTTCTACAGTCCAACCTATAGTACCACTATTCTAGCCAACATACAGCACTGCCCAGCCTACAATACCCACCTGAACCCAAGCTTTAATATACTTTGTAGATCAAATAATAGCCATGTTACAGGAAGTCATGACTATAATGAAAAATAATAATAACAACAAAGGCAATAATCATAGTTAACCACACTCTCCTATAAATGGAAACTGACCTGAAAGGACCAATCGACCTATCATGTATTACTACTGTTATCAACTAGAACACATTGCCTAGAAATATCCAAATATTAATTATAGAAATAGCATAAAAAACAATCTCCCAAGTCAAAACCAAAACAATGCTTCTATCAATAACAATAGACTAATAGAAAAAACCTCTAGAGCAGTGTTGTATGTTTTGACTGTCTAAAGACTTTTTTGATACTGTCTAACGTCTAAGTATCCAAGTGTTTACAAGTATCCAGAGTATGTTTAAACTCTAATAATTAATAAATTTGTTTAAAAAATATATGATTGTATATTTTTTATATACTGAACATATTTTACTTAGAAATTAATATAGGTTATCTTAATAAAATTTTGAGTAATTTTAATTTATTTAATTGTCCAAAATTGTTCAAAGTGTCCAAACTTACTGTTCACAACTGTCTCGTGACAATACTGCTCTAGAGCACAGGCAATGCTGGTTCAACTACAAGACCCCATGAAGCATTTAAACTGAGAAGTGCACCTTTAGAGGGTGAGAGTATACAATTGTCTTTAAACCTCTTGGTAAGTATAATAAAGAAATTATATAAAAAAAAAGTAAAAAGATGGAAGGGTATGAATAACAACTTTCAAGCTACTTAAGTAAGACTTAGCCTAAGTGATGTTGTGATTTAATTAATAAGGATAAGTAAAAAAGCAGAGCAACTTAAATTAATCAGTAACAATATAACACTGTGCAAAATTTAATCAAAAAAAAAAAAAAAAAAAAAAAAAAAAACTCAACCTACTTATTTTATAAAACAATTATAACAGATATAATAATTAAGGAACAACTACAACAAATATAGGTGTATATACTTAAAAGGCAATAATGGTAATATTAAGAGATTCGTCATAATAATTAGTACTCAAAAGCAGCAAAAAAAAGAAAAACCAAGTTAAAACAAATTACCTATTGATGAGACAAAGTTGGCTAATCTAAGCTGATATTTCTATGAAAAGAATAAAAAGAGATTAAAAAAAAAATCTGTAAATTGAGCTCAGATAACAGTGTTATAGCATCTAAGCAACAAATCAACCAACCAAGAAAAAGCAACAAAAAATAAAAATAGATCTTAAAAATTATACAAACCTGATCCAATACTTAACCAAAATGAAAATACTGGAAAAATTCAAAAGGAGCAAGCCTGAAAACTAAGAATTCAAGCAAACTGATACATCATATAAGAAGAAGTACTGTATCAAAAGAACAAACAGAAACCTAACCATCTTTTAAGAGCCCTACAACAGAGCTAAGTTCTCTTAATATTACAAGCTATACATAATGATCCTGTAATAAGACACTTGGGTGAAAGAACAATGATTGAGAAAATAAGGAAAAGGTATTATTGAAACTAGTTCATAAGGGATATTAGAGACTATATGTGAAGCTATAATGTGTGTTAACAGAGAGAGAAGTCTAAGACAAGAGAAGCACTATATCTGATAAAAGTGACCCAGCTATTTAATCGAATAAGGATAGATATTGTAGGCCTCTGCCTATTACGAAGAAGCGAAATTGCTATCTTGTGATTGCAGTAGAATACATAATAAAGTGGTCCAAGTCATGAGCCTTACCTGATTGTTCTGCAGAATCAGTTGCAGCATTTGTATTAGAGGATATAGTTATACAACATGGGTGTCCTGTGTAATTCAATCTGACCAAGGCTTACACTTTGTGAATAAGGTTATGAAGTTGGTTTTTGATAAGACAAAAGTAAATTATAAGCAATCATCTACCTACTATTCTCAAAACAACAGGCTTATTAAAAGGTTTAACTGAACTATTAGTAAAATGCTGATAAAATGTATAAGTCAGTATGATGGAGATTAGGATGATTATTTGGCTTCTGCACTATTTGCATATAGAATAGCTAGGCATAGCATGACGAAGTTTGATCTTTTCTACTTTACATATGGACATGAAGCAACATTATTAGTTGAGTTAGTAGTAGGAATCTACTTTGTAAACTTGAATAATGATGAGCATTATGAATCATTAGTTTTAGCCCAAATGTTAAAGTTGATAGATGAGCTATTTGAGGCGCAAATTCAAGCTCAAGAGAATATACATAAGTCACAAAATAGCAAAAGCAGTATTATGATCAACAGCACTCTCTGCAAAGCTTCGAAATTAGGAATAAGGTTCTGAGGTATCAAGCAAAGCTGGGACAACAGCTGGGTAGCAAATTGAAGAAAAAGTGGATGGGCCCATATTGGATACATGATGTAATTAGAAACAAGACCTATAAATTATGCATGATGGATTCTAACAAACAGTTAATCAAAAAGGTAGTATACAGTAGTTAATTAGAATGATATTAAGATTGTAATGACATAGTAATAAAATAAAAAATAAATAAATAAATTTATATAAAAAGATGCAGATTTAAAAAAAAAAAAAAACTCTCTAGTTAACAATAGCAAAACAAATGAAGCAGCATTGGAAACCTTGAGAAAAATGATTCAGCAACTTATTGATCAAATGAACCTGGAGAAAAAATTAAAGATAAAAGGAGCATAAGTAACTTTGTATAATCGAGACCAAGAAATAGAAGAGATGTTTGGAAAAACTACAAAGAAGAGCAAAGCTCAACAAATCCACAACGATATGCACCTGTACCTTCTAGACCTGAACCACCCTGCTAGGTTTGACTCTGTGATGCCTGTTAAAGTCACTAGTATGATCTGGAATGAGAAACTAATTCAGGCATATGATGACATCAAAAACCTAAACCCCAAGCTTAGTCTAATACTCATGTTCTAAAAACATACTATAAAGTTGGTAGCTTGTTGTTTGAGTCTGACTGGGGTGATGAAGCAAGGAAAAGTTGGTTCAGCAACTTCCAGGTTCTAAGAGAAGCCTTGTCTGAAAGATTGCTAAGTGTATGTACCTGCTGTTCAGTACCTGTAGAAAATATAGTATATATATTATAACTGAAATATTTGGTTATAGAATGAATTTAGGTCTTTATTAAAAGAAATTCAAGATGAAGAGGTGTTTTATTTGTATAAAATAAGACTTGAGACAGTGAACAATGCCTTTTATAAGTCTTTTACAGAACGTTTTTATAAGAAAAATGTTTTACTAACACTTAACTATTTAGATAGCTAAAACTATTTACATTAACATCTGTAACCCCTAGTTTTAAAGCTAATACTATCATTATAATCCTATGCATAATGATTTATACATAATGATTATATGCATAATGATGCTATGTATAATGATTCTAAAATAAATAAATATATAATTTAAATAAAAAATAAATACAAAATAAAGTATAGTTTAAACAAAAGGTTTGCTAGGCAATATGATCATTGCTATAGTCACGTGATCATTACGATATATCAGTATCATGTAAACATCATAGTGTATAATGTTAGATTTAATAATTCTGTTATACTTTCTTCTCCTTAAAATGCAAGGTTCTCTGAGCTATATAGTCAACTAGTGACTTTAAAAAATTTCTATTCTAAAAAAAACTCTATTTAAAAATTCTATGTTAAAATTCTATATAAAAACTAACTTAATTCAGAGATTTTATACCTCAGATAACCTGTAATCAAAAACTCAGGTGTTTTTATACCTCAGATAACCTGTAACCAAAAACTCGGAACCACAATTTCATCCTCAGCTAATCTGTAGCCAAAACTTCACTCTTGGCTATCCCATATCCAAACTTTCATTTTTAGCTAATCTATAGCCAAACTTTACTTTGCATAGGTCTTATTTCTTAACAGACTAGGCTCTATCATTATGGCCTATACTCAAACTACAACTTACAAATACACAAATATTAAAAAAAACTATAAACTCAAAAAAAATTTGCTAAATCAAAAAACTATAAACTCAATACAATTAAAACTATAAACTTTAAATTATGTACAAACTAAAAACTATAAATTCTAAAAAAAAACTAAAATGATAATTTTAAATTTATCTAAAAAATTTTTTTTTATTACTCAACCTCACATCAGATTTCATATTCGGCATAACAGATAAGTTTCTTGCTCTTTATATACTTCTTTTTTATTATATTATCTTTACTAATTTATTTATTTTCTAGGATTTCTCTTTTCAGCATTGTATTATCAGATTCTTTCGAGCTTCAAGGGATCGGATAAGCTTTAGAATTCGTTTACAGGGCTGTATAGAGCCAGATACATCTTTCTTTTCATCTTTTCTTCTATATAATGTCAATTACATAATCATCACATATAGTCATTAGTTGATCATCCAAAATTTTCTCATTTTTTATGCTTAGCTTTATTCTTCTAATGGTTTTCTTCTAGCAGGTAATGCAACATATTTTCGTCCTTAGTTAAGTATTTTCTTCTCTTTCTCTTTTTCTTTTCCCATTTACTAATCTTTACTGATCTTTAATTCTTAGTCTTCCAGATCTTCTTGCTATTTGGGATTTCTACCAGAGTGCTTTCTTGTTTCAGGTTCGGATAGTCTCTTTTTCTTTTTCTTCTAACTATATGGAAGTGAATCTACAAAGACTCTTTTGCTGGTATTTTAGATGGGGTTCTTCTTATTATGTCTGGATTTATAAGCAACAAAATCAGAATTTAAAAGGACTGGTCTTCTGGAGGATAGAATCTAGAACTTTAGATTTGAATTAAGACTTGAAATTAAAGTATCATTTGGCTAATTCAATATAACAATGAGGCATTTCAGAAGCAATTTCAGGGCATTTTCTATCGAAAGCCCTTTTTCCAATAGTTATTTCTGTTGTGATAATACCAAAACCATAGATATCCACTTCTGAAGTAAATTGTTGACCTTGTAAAACTTCTAGAACATATGTTATACTTTTATAGATTTTATCATCTCCTTTAATATTATAAAGTCTCAAATCTGCAATATAAGTAGATCTATTTTTTTTCTTTATTTTTGTCTTTGGTCTTGGGCAGGTTACTAATTATTCTCTTTCTTTTTAGGGTTTTTAATACCAGAACTAGGAATGTACATTTTGACTGTCCAAAGGCTTTTTTGGTACTGTCCAACATCCAAATATCCAAGTATCCAAAAGTGTCCAGAGTATACTTAAGCTTTAATAATTAATAAATTTGTTTAAAATATATATAATTATATATTTTTTTAGGTGCTGAACATATTTTACTTAGAAAGTAATATAGATTATCTTAATAAAATTTTGAGTAATTTTAATTTATTTAATTGTCCAAAATTGTCCAAAGTGTCCAAACTCACTGTCTACAACTGCCAGAACTAGAACTTGGGAATCTGATCTTCTTAGAGGACAGAATATAGATCTTCTAAACATATACTTTGAATCATTAGTTCTTAGAACACTGAAATTTTAGATAAATAGATCCTTTTTCTTTTATTTTATTCTAATTTTTGACTAAATTTTTTTATTTATTTAGGATAATATAATAAAGGGTGATATTATAACAAGTCTGGGATAGGACATGTTGATGAAATATTGATCAATAGTCATAAGAACGGAATCATAAAAAAACATATAAAGTATATAAATCAGAACTTTCAGGACTTAATTTAATAGTACATAGTTATCTTCAACTTGAGTTTTTCCAAGTAGACAACTTGAGGTCCTGTCATTGTTGCCAAATGCAACCAAAATATTCGGTTATAAAATAGATTTAGGTCTTTGTTAGGAGAAATTCAAGACGAAGTAACATTTTATTTGTATAAAATAAAACTTAAGGCAGTGAACAATACCTTTTACAAGTTTTTTACCAAATGTTTTTATAAGAAAAATGTTTTACTAATACTTAACTATTTAGAAAGCTAAAACTATTTATATTAACATTTGTAACTCCTAGTTTTAAAGCTAATACTATCATTAAAATCTTATACATAATAATTTATATATAACAATCATATGCATAATGATATTATATATAACGATTCTAAAATAAATAAATATATAATTTAAATAAGAAATAAATAAAAAATAAAGTATAGTTTAAACAAGAGATTTGTTAGACAATATGATCATCGCTGTAATTATATGATTGTTACTATACGTCAGTATCATATGATTATTATAGTATATAATATTAGATTTAATAATTCTGTTACAATATTTTTATTTTGATGCTTGAGTGAATATTGGATTCTGATTTTACAGAATTATTGACAGAAGCAAGAAGGTTAAGGGAGGATGAAACTAGAAGGCTGTTGACGGGTTCAATAAAGCTTATCCTTTAAGAAGAGGGATATATTACAGAAAATTTTGAAGAAATTTTCTTTACCTTGCAAATTTATAATATATAGTTTCTTATTCTATAATGAAAAGCAGTAAAATTATATAGTTATAATAGTATTAGTATATGTATGAGTCTATAATCTGAGGTTAGAGTTTGAAACTCTTGGTCTGAATATAAAACTCCAAATCTGGGTTCAAAACTCCAGATCTGGATTCAAAACCCCAAATCTGGATTTGAAATCCTTATCTATTGTTATAGAACCGTTTATTATTTTAGTAGATTATTATTCCGATATTGTATAATTATTATTGTTATTATTTTAT